TTGGGCTTTGAGTTCTATAAATTAAATGTATATAGCTCTTATACACATTTTAATAAAAAGCAAGCCACGGCAAAACCTGTGAAGATTAAAAAAAAAAAAAAAAAATTTAAACATTAGAAATATTAATTACTAGATATCACTAGAACTTCTATTTAGTGATAAAAAAAGTTAACTAGAAGGTCTAGTAAATAACTTAATACTAGACTACTATATCTTTTAATTTTATTTAGTAAATTCTAATTAACCTTCTAGTTCTAGTAAACATCACTAAATCTTTCAATTAACAATATTAATTTACAATATTCATATAAAAAAAAATATAATATTAGTTAATTTTATTATATAGATCTTTTTTTTTCAAAATATATAACCTCTTTATTAAAAGCAAGATCTGTTCTCACAACATATACTATTTTATTAAGTTAAGATAGATTTATATATATAAGTCTATTATTTGATATTCTAGATTTTTAGTTTCATAGTATTGCAATTCTTTAATATATACTGTATATATTATTATAATGTTTTAAGATTAGAACTATGATCAACTATCTATATCTAAAAACTACTTTCTCTGATAATTCTAAGTATTTTTAGTTTTACAATTTATTTACAACCTAGATTTACTGATCAGGTGACAAACCTTACTATTAGATTTTTAGATTTTTGTATACCTACTTACAATTACTAAATATCACAATTGCTAAAGCTTCTACTTGAGTTGGGGTTATTCTCTAAACTGCTATGTTTTTATAAAGTTTATATTAACTTCAGTATCTCATATTTAAACTTCCTTCTTCTACAAATTCTTAATTAGTTCTTTCCTTACTTCTAGTTAATAACCTGGAAGAGTTAACCTGCTTAGGCTTTAAGTACTTTACAGACTTTCTTTTTTTGGTTTATATTTTCAAAATATATATTCTTTTCTCAATATAATAGTCTTAATAGTCTAGTTAGTAAATTCTCTTACTAGAGATCTTTTATTATTTGGTTCTCTAGTTTCTTAATTTGGTTTTTCTGTGATACTGTTAGAAATTTTCTGCTACCTTCTTACTTAGATCTTTCCAAATAGATTTATATTAGCTCCTATTCAAGATAGTGTACTAGACAACTAATCAACAGATAACATAACTATAACACAAGCAATTTTCTAAAAATTATCATTTGTGAGATTCAAACTCTTGACTTGCCACTTGGTGAGGTAATAACTAGACAACTTCACTAAGCCACCACACTCTTATTACCGTAAATTGTCATATAAACTATCTCCTTTATAGAAGACCCTCCTTCTAGTAGACCCAGATCTGTTACTTGGATTTAGTGAAAGGTAAAAAGTATAAGACCCGGGTCTATTATGTGGTCACGTATTATACTCATATTATATACTTGACTTAGGGTTGCTTAATTTTGATTGATCAACTATCTTTAACCACACAACAGACCCCCCTCATAGTAGACTCTCCTCCATACAGCAAACTCTCTCGGGTTTAAATTGGTTTTTGTGTTGGTTTAAAGTAACAGACCCCAGGTGGTTTATGTGGCAATTTACAGTATATAGATCTTATTAGTTACATATAGGCTGCTATCAATAGAAATCAGGCAGATCTACATTTGAAAAAAAATCAATGCCTTAACTTTCACAGCTCATAACTCAATGGATTTTAAAGCTATCTTAATAGTTTGATATTCAAAAGAAAGCTTACAATCTAAAAATTCTTTTGAATATTAAACAATCAAGATAACTTTAAAATCTATTGAGATATAAGCTGTGAAAGTTAAGGTATTAATTTTTTTCAAATGTAGATCTACCTGATTTCTATTAATGGCAGCCCATATGAATATTATTAATAAAGGTCTGTTTTCAGGTTTTTGATACATTAATATGTAAAGTATCAATAACATAATTCATGCAGTATGTAGATCTTAATACCCTCAACCTAAAAAAAAACATAGCAATTTTTAGACGATTTTTGAAAGCTCAATACACCTGGTTTTTTTAAAAAATACAGGCTTTTTTTTTTTTATCATTAGATAGAGAATTGAATGTTGTTTTTATTTTGGTAATTTTGTGAATAAATATGATTTTTTCAAAAAGTTTTACTATTAGCAATCCTTAGGTGCGCCAGAATCCCTTAAGCATAACAATTTTATTTAATTCGCATATAAATTCGGTAGCTCTAGTCCCGTGCCTGATAAGCCACAGTTTCAGAAATGCAAAATTACATAATATCATATATTAGAAATTTAAAATACCAGCACAAATCGAGAGGTTTAATACAGTACGTACGAACCGGTACCTACGTGTATTTAAACTTGTATAAGCACACTTAAAAATCCTGCTGGGATCAAGCCTTAATACATCAAGGACTTTCCTCATCGAAACTTTATTGGCAACACTAAATAATTGTATCCAGATAATTTCAAGAATGATCAAAAGTAGTAGTTATTGTATGCATGACGAATTCTAACGTGGACTACACATGATTCATATGCCTGTATGTCGTAGGATTATACATCAAATATAGGTGATGTTTATGCTTATCACGTGAATACCAATTTTGGGACTTAATGCGTAGGATCGAAAGTTGTGCATAATTTATACCACAAGCACATTGTGTCATCAAACGTAAAGGATGTCGGACGAAGTTTCAAAGGGCAAGGAGGGTATCTCAACAACAATAGGGCAGTCTACACCTCATACAAGGCCACGAAGAGGTACTCTAAGCGAGGAGGCCAAACAAACTTTCGTAAATGCTACAAATTATATTAATCAAAAAATATTGCACAGACGGACCTCGGTTTCTTCTCAGAAACCAATCGAAACAATGATAGTTCAGACAGAGACAGATGCTTCTGCAAACAATTTAAATTCAGCTAGTCCTATTGTAATTAATAATATTGTTCCCTCACAACAACAACTTTTGCAGTCTTCTCGCACAAATAATATACCACGGAGAAAAAATAGTCGTTCTCCTAACAGCAATTATTCGCCCAGCCCTCCTTTACAGCCTTCATTTCCTTTAACATCAACTGCTGAAGAACATTTAACCGAAACCCTCGATAATATAAATTGCGATTTAATTAATAGTAATATTATAAATAGTAATAATAATAATAATAATAATAATAATAATAATAATAATAATAATAATAATTGTAATAATAATTGTCTGGAGCAAAGTGAAGGACGATCAATAGAAAGGTAAAGATTGAAAAAAAATGTCTTGGATTCCGCAACTGATGATCAGATGTTTCGCTCAGCTAACGTCGATCATCACGTATATCGAATGTGCAATATACTAAAAATCTCATCTTTTTTATTGTTTTTGATTTTAATAAAATCAGTGCTCCAGATATCAACGGAGCCCGTTTACCTAGTAATAATATCGGTAATAGTAGCATACTTAAGCGTTTGGGAACATATAGTGGAAATTCTTCAAGTCAACATTCACCTACAGCTTCAATATCTTCGCGCAAAGCAAATTCATTATTTACATTCGATATGAATAGAGAGAACAAAGGCATATTAAAAGATGATAGGATGGAGAAATTATTAAAAAAGGCAAAGATATTCCTGGATCAAAGGCAAAAACCAAAAGCAAGAATTACATCACTTTGGAGTTTTATTGGTGAGCTATTCTCTTGGTGGAGTGTGGTGTACTTAACTTATAGCTACAGGAGTAGTGTTCATTTTTTTTTATTTTTTCAATTAATTGATTGTTTATTTTGTGGAAAAAAGATGTTACGAATGAATTAGATCAAGCTCAATTCTTCCAAGAGCATGCCGAAGATGTATTCGATGTAGTTTATAAGTCATTTATGGGCCAAGTCGAAAAAATAAAACGTGAGAATTTAAAACAGATAAAAAACCAACCTTAATTTAAAAAATATAAATGTATCTAACAAATTATTGTATATGTATAATTGTTTATTTGGTAGAAAAACCTGATAGACCCATGACATTTTCGTCAAAAGAATTTTTGAATATAAATAAGACCTTATTATTATTACGAAAAATATTTTTATTCTTACCAGACAAAATTAGAGTGGGGTGGCAGCGGAGACAAATAGGTATTATCGATAATAACCGACTTCGAGTTTACTAGGTGGCTTGTATATTTAAATATTTATGTTATTAATTTTCATCATTACTATTATAATTATTATTATTTAAAAAAAAGCTGAAATATTATCACATCTACTTGGTCACGGAAATCATCCGCGTGTTCGGATACAAGGATTTCAGCTTTTGCTATTATGGTTAAATGATCAAACTATCGAGTTACAAGAGTGCATATATCTTTATTCAAACGCTATTTCGTTAGATTTATTTTTGTATGATCAAATACGGAATGGAGGTGATGATTATTATGAAAGACAAAATGCATGGCGAAAAAGCAATGTTCCTTTAGGGCTCGGACAAGAGTTGATTCGATGTGAGTTTACTAAAAGTAAATTATTGCAACTGTGAATGATTAATATATAAATTTTTTTTATAGCTGATAATCAAGCCCCATTATTTCCGAATCCTCATCCACCTACTTATAATGATGCCGTACAATTGATCCAACTTGATTTAAGTAGTCTTGTTAGGCTAGCACATGTTGCTGCCGGTTCAACTCCACCATCAGAAAATTATGATTTTCCCGCAATTGAAAACATCGAGCCTGATAATGGAATAGCAATCGGGATGGGCATTGATGCTGCTTTTGCTGCAGCTAAATTTCATTTTGATCTTACAAAAAAACATTATTTCGTAAAACTTTTTCCCCAATGTGCTAAGAGTATTGGTTTGTTGGCAGAAAATCAAGGTATTTTTTATTATAAAGCATTTTTTTATTTGTAATTTTTTACTAACTTTTATGGGTTGCTTTTTATATTTTATATGTTTAATAGAGTACGGTTTTAAAAAGTGTCCACCGACAATTCTCCGTGCATTAATCACGTTTTTTATCCACCATTGTCTCGATAATCATCATAGCCCATCAGAAAAGATTTCATCATATCCTTCACCTGCTACTCCAATCCTAAAGTCTATTGTATTAGGCCCAGAGAATCGCGAGTTTGCACATGAAATAGTGCGCCAAGCTCTTATGTTGCCTGCTGGTAGCCCATTATATAAAGATATTGTGAGAGGTGCTGTTCATATTGTTGGTGTCTGGATACTTAGTGGAGTTAGTGTTTATCTATTGATTAATTCTACAATTAAAGTGATCTCTATTAATATATTAATGACTATGGAGTATGACTAATTACGTTTTGTATTCTTAACATTATTATATTTTTATTTATATTTACAGGAAGAAGAGAGACCAGCATTCTTACGCAAGTCTCCATCACAAGGTCCACTATCCGCTTCTACAACCGGATCTTTTAATAATCATACTTCCTCAGTAGACAGTCAGAGTGAAAATCCAAGCACACCAGCTATTACACCTTCATCAGCTACTTCGTTTTCCACAACATATTCGAGCGCTAATGTGTACCTTCGGAGATACATTCAATTATTAAGTCTCGTTTTCGAAGACCATTCGTTCATGACCCTCAACGGTATGACCAATCTAGAGGTAAACCCCTTTTTACAATTGTAAAAAGTTTAAAAATGCTTTATAACTAATTCCTTTACAGGTAGATTCGCAAGTTTCAATATATAAAGATGTCCTTGCTCTCTATCGATCAATGATTTCAGAGGGACCTATTGAGTTAGAGACGGAAACATGGTAAATTTTTATTGATTGTCCAGAGCGAAACGGAAGATCAATGTCCAGTGTCCTACGCATAATATGTTTATTGAATATTGATTACCATAACTATAGATGCTGGTGAAATACGGTGAAATGTGGTGAAATAATTTCACCACTATTGGTGAAATTGGTGGTGAAATGGTGAAATTAATTTCACCAGCATCTATAACCATAACATTTGTATAAACAGATTTTTTTTTTTTTTGAAATTATATAATCTCGCTCTGGACGCATAGAGATTCCATTAAGTAAATTAGTATAATTTTTGGCATTATTTTGTTTACGCTTTACAATATCGATTACAGGGAGGTTTTACTTTTGTCACTTTTGGATATTCAAGATAAAATTATGAATCAGAAAGATAAGTATGCTGCAATACCTTCAGCATCATTGGCAGAAGAACTAGCTGATTATCTAGTCGAAGTTAGTACTTATATACTTTGTTTGTTGTCTTTGCCTTCAGTCTCGTGTAACATTGTTTTCAATACTAGACAGTACTGAATGCATTCGCACGGTCAAAAGCTCAGCAACCTGGCTTATGGAAAGAATTAAGGGACCAAATGAGTTGTAGTACAAGATGGTCTCAAACTATTTCTCAATGGGCTGTAAGTATAAATGTCATAATATCAGGGCAGTCAAATTTTGAGTCTTAAGAGAAAATTAACTTGTTAACAATTTAATTTTAGAAAATCATGCTACGTCTTACTAAAATAATTTCGAAGCATGTCTATAATGTTGACCTTGATGCTCTTGAATTAGACCGTCGACTTGCAGAACTTTCTACCTCTGAACGTCATTATCATAGACGTAGACCTTCTAAAAATCGCACACGACATCTTTCTTTGCGAGGGACACATAAACATAAATCTTCTGGGAGCACTTCTTCACGTGAGGAGGTCCTGGGAGCACTCAATGCTGATTTTTCATTGTCTGCTAAAAATACTACTGATAATAATAAATGCGGTCGCCGAACACTGAGTATGCATCAAGACATGAATTCATTGGATCCAAAATTGTTAAGCGGACAGACTTTATTTAATGTTGTAGGCAGTGGTCCTGCTTCATCAACACATTCTGGTAGTGCTGCATCAGATGACGATGGTGAAGAAGCTGAAGGTGAAGATGACTTTTTTGATGCTAGTAGCGAACTTGCGTTTGACGATACAGCTGAGTCCAAAGTACATTGCCTTTAAATGCGTTGTATTTCTTTATTTCGTTGAGTGTAACTTATTTATTAATCAGTGGTGTAAAATGTATAGTCACACCGAACTTCTTCATCTTCCGTATTTTTTGCACATCCAAATTTTAGCGGCGAAAAATTATCAATATCTCTAGGTAATTTCAGATGTCCTGATTATTGCAATTTGGATCCATTGGCATGGAATGGTGAAAGCGCTGTCCTAGTATGGAGAAATATGTTATGTGCATTAGGAAATGTAAATTATATACAGGTACAAAAGTAATTTGACATATTTAATATTTATATATAGAGTAAATTTAACATTTATGTTTTATAAGGTTGCGTCAAACCATGCAGATGCAATAAAGTGTCTTGTGGACATGCTGGAAATGCTAGAATTAGTGAGTAGTGAAATTTGTGAATTTTCTGCGCTTTAAATTTACTAATTTTTTTTTGCTTTAGGTCCGTAATAATAAATGTGGAAACTTTTCATTATCTCTACATTACGACTTTGCTCCTTGGCTTTTTCAAGCTTGTGATTTGCCTTTGTAGGTAAACAAAAAGTAATCTGTGCATGAATTGACATGGGTTACTATTACTTTTGTTCTGATTCCTCGTAAAATTTTGATCTAATAGGACATTTATTACTTTTGTTCTGATTTCCCGTAAAATTTTGATCTAATAGGACATTTACCCCGGGACGAGCATTGGCATACGCTGGATTATGTAAAATGATGTCTCAACGTCAAGATCAAGATTTTGACGAGGCGTTTTATCCCCATTTTTATCGCGCTTTACTCAAAGGATTTTCAGAACAAGACATTTCAATAACGCTTGCAATTGTGAATAATTTTACAAAGCTTTTCTCTCGAGGGCTTCCGGGATATAGCATCTTATGTCAGAGTTTTATTGAAGCAATTCGGAATATGCTATTAAAAAATGACAAACATATACCAGAAGTCGCGAGACAGAATGCCATTAAAATAATTTGCTCGCTTATTTGTATAGTAAATCAAACGCCGACTGTTAAAGTTCCGATAATATCGTATGAAAATCTCGTTCAGTTTAATAATACTGATTTGGACGCATCAGAATTAAGTCATTTCGATAGCATGCGATTTTCTGAAGTAAATGACATCTTCTGAGCTATGTTTTATTTCTATTAATATAATTCTCATATTACATGAATTTTTTTTTTTTTAGGTGAGATTGCTTCTGGAAGATGCTTTAATATCCTCCCTTGCAGATGAAACGTCGGTTTATAATTACGAGACACATAATATGTTGTTATATGGGATTTTTACCTTTGCTTTTGATGAACTTACCGCTACACCATGGTTTGTTTTAAATTGTATTCCTAGTGTTATTATTTTTACAGTTCTTAAACTATCCACTTTCTGATAGGCCCGACAAAACCATTGTCAAGGAATGTTTTCAAGCAATATTAGAACAGTTATATTGGAGTCACTTGCCAATTGTTAGTGCAGCTACGGATTGCTTGATTTCTTTTGCACAAAATTCTTCTCTTTGGTGTGATGAAAATGGAGTAAGAGATTTTTTGTATCATTTAAAAGATATATTTGATAATTGAATACTGAGATATGCTTATTTTAGATATACATTATGATATTGCAAGAAGTTTTTGCATATCTCATTGGTGCCCTGAATGAACATCTTAATCTGCATAAAACATCAAGCAGAAATGGCAGAGGTAAAACACAAGTTGATGTTTTACTCTTATTTTATAATATTATTCACTAAAATATTGGGTTACATGTTTTTCTTCAGGATTCATAATAGCAAAGTTATTTTATTGTCTTCTTGAGTGGCTAATGGTCATTCCGACAAATCTTTTCACCGATACAGAGTTATGCCAATTAGTATTTGATGTGATTGACATGGCACTTGAAGCTTCGGGAGTATGTCGATAGAGAATCTTTGTTATTTTTATAATTTATAGATAATGTTTAATTTCTCAATTTTAAAATCTTTGTTATTACGCTTTAAATTAGTCCGATTCGCCAAGAATTTATAGAAAACACTGCACAAATTTATCGAACAAAGGGAGTGGAAAAAGTAAAGACCGAGATTTTACTGTGAAATTTAAAAAAGCGGAGAGAAAAGTTGCGTTGAACTCAACTCTTGACAATGAACAGAATATCCACGTGGTTGGAGTAGAGAATGATGTGGAAGATGTTAATTTTGTCAAAGTAATAATTAGTCATGTTGATTTCATGTTAAAATCAAATGTATACAATGGATTTATGGTGGTTTATATTTATTTATGATAAAGAATCTGAAAAACTAACCGATAAGATTTGAGATGGTTAACATCACAGTCAACCTCATAAGTCCATTGATGTTCATAGATATATAAAACTTACTTTTTTTATATTTCAAGGAAGTTGCAGAATATGTGTTGTTACATTTGACACACCACTTGGATAATTTTGCTCCTCTTCATGGTCCTGCAATGATGAATAGGTAAAGGTTATTACCGAATTATTTATTGTGGCAGCTTATGTTGAAATTGAAACCTCCACCTATAATACTCGCTTATTAACATAAGTTATAACTCAACCATAAAAAAAACTGCAAAGAAGTCACAGAAATTTTAAAATTTCATAATAAATTTTCATCATCAGCTGCCATATTTATTCTGTTTACTAATATCTAACTTGGAATCTATGTGTATAAGTACTTTAATTGGGCCATTAGGAAGTGAAACTAAAGATGATGAAGCGTCCGATAATTACCATTATTTTTCTTTTAACGATACGACAATAATTACTTTAGTTGAAATACCGGGAGATAATTCTTCAGGTATTTAAATATATATATGTGTTTTGTTATAACATTAGCACCTTTTTTGAATAAGTATAACTTGTTTGTATAGTATCACGAATGATTATACGAGACTTTTCTGGCCGATACGCATGGGATTCAAGCCTATTTTATAAAGCTTCTCTTGATGATAAATACCCTGAGAAAGTAGATACGCATAAGGATACTGAAGTTATTGATCATATAAGTCTGAGACCTGATATCAAAGTTGAGCCAAGTAACAGTAAACCTAAATCGTATGTTTTTGTTTATATTTAAATTATCGTCTATAGTCAGTTACATAAATAAGAATAAGAATTTATTGATTATATTGATCTGTATTTGGTTTTTTTTTTTTTTTTTTTTTTTTTTTTTTTTAATTAGTGCTAACTCATCACCAAAGATAAAATCACGATATCGACCAGGAAGTTTCTTCAAAGATAAAAATCGATTACCTGTTTGGACCGAAACTAGCAGTTCTGAACATATAAATATGTTAGATAATCTACTCCAATAGTAAGTTAATTAAATTATTCTAAAAGCTTATCAAGTTTACATGTTTATTAACAATAATATTTGCTCTTAAATAAAGTATTGACCAACAATCACCTTGTACAAAAGATGAAGAGGGTCTACCTAGCACGTCTTTAAAGATTGTAAATGGTTTATCTCTAATTGAAGAACAACTAGACCGACACATACAGGAAGAAACACTTTATGAAAGCTCTATAAATAACCAGGCGTAAGATTCTAATTTAAAACTTTGAGTACTTTTTTTTTTTTTTATAACTAATGGTGTGCTCAATGGATTTCTATTTTTTTATTAAGAAAATTATGGTATGATAACATCATCTCCGTTAGAAACAATATCTTTCATGAACGTGAAAATCGTCATGTTAAAAGACGTTCGCGGAATCCACTTTATACTCGGTCAACATCTTATTTATCACTTGGAGCAGATTTTTCATTATCAAAGTCATTTATTCCGGTGCTACCCCCTGAAGCTGAAAAACCTATAGAATCTTACCAACTTTGCCGATTATTTTTAAGCCATCTTGGGTGGCTTAACCCTGAAGCATTGAAAGATGATTCTATTTGTATGTTAAATAAAACACCTAACTTATTTCGTGATATACGCTTTTTAGACAAGAAACATGCTCGTGAAGTGATTAAAGTCGCTCTCTTATATGTTGGTCCCGGCCAAGAAAATGAAAAATGTATTTTACATAATACGAATGGTAGCCCTTTGTATGATGAATTTGTAGCAAGTCTTGGATGGGAAATTGAACTTGCAACACATCCTGGATACCTTGGTGGATTAGAACGAAATGCAACCAATGGTCTTACATCAATTTATTACTGCACTTCAACGATTGAAATAATTTTCCATGACGTAACCAGGATGCCGACAGATTTAACCGATCCTAAGCAATTAAAAAAAGTATGTTATTATTAGTATTGCATCATTTCATTTCACATGCTAACACTTTATTTTTCATATAAGAAACGTCACATAGGTAACGACCATGTTCACATAGTGTTTAACGAGCATCACAGAGATTATCGTAAGACGACTATTGGGGGTGATTTTGGCAATGCACAAATTGTTGTTACTCCTTTGCCTAATGGCTTATTTAGCATAGACATTTATCGCGATAACAAGATTCCTCCATTTGGGCCATTGTTACATGGCATGGTAGTGTCGAAGAATGTATTAGGACCTTTGGTACGACAAACTGCAGTTCAAGCATTTCGGAACAGTTTGCGTAATCTTCATAGTTCTAATATAACAATGTATCATAATTCATATATGGAACGTGCATCAGATATTAGCTTGATAACAGGAAAGCATAAAAATCCTAATTGTAATACTTTTGAAGCATTTATGTCAAAATTTTTTGTTTCGGATTATGTTAATTAATAGAGTTAGTGGAAATATTATAATAACATTAGTTTCATTGTAACATTATTATACAAAACTCAGATACCGACATAGTGTAAAGTTTAAATTTAGTGTTTAAAAAATTATTAGCATTAAAAAAAATCATTTTTGTAACTTTATAAGGGTTGCATCAAGTCTTATAAATGCTTAAAAATTACATGTTTACAAGATGAAGTAGTGGCCAAAATTGTAATCTGTGTAATAACTCATCTATCAATGAAATTTATGACAGATTCCAAAATACCGTATGTTACCGAATAGAAGCTACCAAAAAAATTTCGATTTTCTCGGGCTAAATCGTGGGGGTAGCTTCTATTCGGGTCTAATTTTACTATTAAAACATAATAACCTTTTTCGGATTTTTGGATCCAAAATCGAGGGGTAGCTTTTATTCGGGGGTAGCTTCTATACAAAAAATTATGTAAAAACTGATATCTATCAATAATGCAAAATCAATCGACTATCTGAATATTAAAAAAGGGTATTAGAACGAGGATGAATATTACGACGAATCGATTATATTTGTTGGCAAGACTCATGATTTGGGACGATTTCATATGTTGTTATTTTTGAAACTTTGAATTTGTAGTTGATCAGTAAAAAAATTTGCATAAGAAACTACCATTAGTGCTTTAACAAAAGTTTTCTTTGAGCGATTTTACCTTAAAATTTAATCCTAATATGAACACTAACCTTAACATCAATAAACTTGAAAAATTTTGCTAATTGCAAATCTGCGCCACAAACCTGGCACAGAATCCATACGTACATTTTGAAAAGGCTTCATTGGTTATATCAAGCTCTGTTAAATACAAGTATTTCATCAAAAGATAAATTTCGCTTATAGTTGGCTAAAAACTATATATATATATATGTTTTTTTTAGTGTTAAGATGACATGACCTCTTTGGCCTGGGGATGCTTTAGAAATCAATTACTATTATGGTTACAACCAGCCACTGCACTTTTGATGCCATTTACCCTAGATGCCTGTAACTGATATTATAGCTATTCTTGAAATAAACTTACCAGAGCCTACTATATCTCTATTTTGGTCAGCCTAATTTTGTACAGTTTTTGATTTTTTTGATTTTTTTTTTTAACAATTATGTCTTTATTATTTGAGAGATACTTTATACAATTTCATATTTGTAGATTAGTGCTATTTTTAGCTACTACCATCTCTTATACAATAAAAACTCATTCGGTTGCTAGTAAATAAATACCATTAATATCTAAATGTGATCTACCTTAGCAACATGTTTTCTTTTTTACAGAATTCTAACTAATGTTATTAGCCAAAATTGGTTTATACTTGTAAAAATATTTCAATGTTTGATATTTAGTCTGTTGAAATAACTAAATATTGCTAAAATCTTAAATTATACCAAAATATCTAAATAATATCGAAATGTCTAAATTAAGAAATATATATAAAAAACATATGGAAATTAAGGCTGTTAATTAGTCTAACTAAAACTATTAGCTCTACAGTCCTCTTTAGAACAAGGCTAATCTAGTCTTTTATAGAATAGACAGACTAAAAAGACTATCAATTTGAATATAGTTAGCTCATGTAGTCTAATTTTTTGTATATATAAGATTAATTTTTTTTTTTTTATAAATTTGAAAATCTTGACTCAACTTCATTAGGCTAAAATATTTAACTCACAGATAAAATATCATTTTTGCTAAAGTAAACTAAAATACAAGTTTTGGCTAACCTGGCTCATTGCAATACCAAAGTGTCTAAAACATTCATGTTCAATCTGCTATAGTAAAGTTTATCTTCATATTAAAAAATCCTACAAATGAATCCTTCAATATATCACCAAATGGTATTTACAGCCTATCAAGACTGCCATCTTTTCTAAACTTTCTTCATCTAGCTTCACAGTAGAAAGATTTATAGTTTCCAACTGACTTATAAAAAAAAATATATTAATACCAAAGATAAAGAGAACGACACAAAAGAAAGAAGAAAAAAAAACTGCCTAAGCAACAAGAAAATGAACAAAAAGAAAAAGAAAAAAATGAAACAAGAAGAAAAAAGCAGAAAAAAAACAATCTATGAAAACACTATTATAGCCTGTACCAGACACAGTTGTAAAAATTATATACTAAATTTAAAAATCTTGTATATCTCTATTGTAAAGCTTTGCTTTATTGTTAAGTTTCTTCTAATTTTACTATCTAGTTTAAGTTAGTTTGTTAACCAGAGTGCCGATTAGTTCGTTACATGGTGTAAGTATATCATTGTCAAAACAATTCCATATTTATGTTCTACTTTGTCCATCTGAAAATGGAAAGTATAAACAATGCCGATTTTTGGAGAAGTAAGCTGAATTGTTTACTTTTTGTTGAAAATTTTGGTAAGGTTGGCAAGAGGCAGTAGAGATGAAAAAAAACCACTAGTTCTAAACTAAAAGAGTATATATACTTTTCTTGCAAAGTATATCAGTAACTTGTTGACCAAGCAAAGGGCAGGTACTTAAAGAACATTAAAGAGTAAGTGATAAACTCTAAACTTGTTGGCAAGTAGCATATGAAAACTACTTTTGAACAACAAGTGCTTTTTATTACAACAGTGAGTAATAAACTCTGAATCTGTTAGCAGGTAGCATATGAGAACTACCTTTAAATAATAGGTGCTGTAGTTTCTTGATTTATTTTACTTATTACTTTTTTAACTAGTTATAATGTATTTATTAAGAAATGTTTTTTGAAAAAATTTAAAACAAATAATTATCAGAAAGAGTTTTTAATTATATAAAATTAATTTTTAGAGAATTAGACAACAATAATAAATTTAAATATTTTAAATTGTATTTTTCTTATTTAATATTTATTTTATATTTTTGCAAATTATTAATTTGTCTTTGCTTTCAAATTAAACATTAAATATTTTTGGATATAAATAACAAATTAGTATTAATATTAGCAATTAAGATTTTTTTTTTAAATCAATTTAGCAATCATATCAATACTTTATTAGACTCAAATCACTTATTTATCTATTTCATATCTATTTTATATAAGTTACAATTTTGGGCTCTACAAACCTTGCTATATTACCCAAGCTAAATAACAAGTATTAACTAACCTGGCTTCTTGTAACTGAAGTCCAATTCGCCTATATCTGATTTGCTATAGTAAACTTTCTCTCTATATTATTTTTTCTACAATAGAAAAATCTAATATTTTACTAGAAGGTATTTATGTTCTGCTTACTATAATTGTCTTTTCTTTTCTTAATTTTAAACCTACTTTTCTTAACTTTCCAGGTAGAAAGAAAAGCTTCTAACTACTATATAAAAAACTTTACAATCAAAGAAAAAAAAAAAGTTCAAAAAGAAAAATATTTATATAAATACCACAATAATATAGCCAAGAAAATATAAATAAAAGAAAGAAAAAAAAGGCAGAAAAAAAAAAAAAGAAAACAATCTATAGTAAGTACACTATTATAGCTCATGCTAGGCAAAAATAAAAATTATATAACAAATGCAATATTTGTATATCCCTATTGTAAAGCTTTGTCTTAATATTAAAATTTTCTTTCCAACCTTTCAATTAACTCTGAATGACTTCATTTGAGCCCATTCTAATCCATATCTCTAGCCAGGTGCTACTACTGTCTATAGACTTGTATCTCAAGCCACCTGCTGCTACTATTAGAGGTTCTATGCCAGGAGCCCAGTCCTGTATAGTAGCTCTATATCTATAAATACATAGTTGTATTCTACTACACTATCTAAATTTAAAAAGTAAACAATGCCAATCTTTTGAAAAATTTTGAAAGAAAGGTAGGAAAGTGGAAAAAAGTATAGAAGAAACCACTTGGCTGAAAAAAAAAGAGTGTAGTTTAAAAAATAGCTGTTTTTTACTGTTCTTTAGTTGTTTTGCAATAGCTAGCTTTGTCAACAGAAGACTTGAATTACTATTACCTCCATCTAGTGCTCCTACAGACTGAACCTGAATCAGACTTTAGTCAAGTTTGAGTCTGGTCTGATTTTCGAACCAGACTCAGACTTTTATATTCAGACTTTTTAGTCAAGTCTGAGTTTGGTCTGGATCTGGTCCGAAGTCTGCAAACTAGTCTGAGTTCGAATATATTTATATATACAGTATATTTGGTACTGACAAGTTAGTGATTGGACTGTTAAATTTAAAATTTTTTTCTTATTATATATCATGCTAATGTATAAGACTTGTAGTATTTGCTTGATCGATTCTAGTTTAATTTTATTAGCCTTCAGAATTTGTTTTTTGATTTTATTATTATCTTTCTGATCTATTTCATCTAACCAACATGTGCTTATTTTAATAATTTCTATTGCAGTAGGTCACTTCTTTATCCATATATTTTATGGCTAATTTAATATAACAATCTGGTTCTAAACATTTAGATCTTGATCTACCGATAATTATTAATACAAGACAATTATCAACAGAATTCTATCAAATGCTTTTTGTCTCGTAAATATAGTTGATCCTTCAAAACCTCTGGTGCTATATAGTAAAATTTCACAAATATTTTCTTTTTTTGCTTTTTTAGAAAGTCCAAGAACTGATATAAGTGCTATTTAAAGTGACTTTTTTACTGTAAATCTCTATAAATAAATTCTTGTAAATGAATCGATTCAAGATCCAAAGATATATACAGTAGTGCAAAATATAAGTGCTAGTATATAAGTTTTGTGGATATATTTGCTTAATCAATTCAGTTTAATCTTATTAGTCTTAGAATTTGTTTTTTGATTTCATTATTATCTTTCTGATCTATTTCATTTAACCAACCTGTGTTTATTTCAATAATTTCTGTTACAGTAGATTGCTTATTAATATCTTTATTTATACATTTCATGGCTAATTTAATGTAACAATCTGGTTCTAAACATTTAGATCATGATCCAAAAATAATTCTTGATACAAGATCATCATTAAACGAAATTCTATATATGATTGTCCTACTAAAAC